AATATATATATATATATAGTTACACGATATATATACGGACGTTTCTTACATTTGCAGATAAATCATAGCCGTACTGGCATTGCTACTCTAGCAGACTGCAGAAAGATGTATATGGGTAATCCATATACATGGTGTAGTGGCATAGATGGTACATGTATAAGCACTGTTTTATGCTTAATGCTTCACCTGAGCTAACATGCAGCGGACGTCTTTACTGTTAGGCCTTTGCTTTGGGTCATCAAGAGTACAAAAATATGCAATCTTGAGAACAAGTAGCATCTGTTCCTCGAGCCCGTTCCCCATCAGGTTAGGATCAATTGCTCTGCTGGGATTGTCAGAGTTCATTACATTCCTAAGCCATTTCACCAGGATCATCTCATCTGTTTGTTGGAAGAATTCATCTGATGGCAACTTCCCCATGACCAAACCTGCCAACACCACTCCAAAGCTATAGATATCACACTTGTCTGTGAATTTCAAAGTTTGGTGGTACTCTGGTGCAATGTACCCTAATGTTCCCGCCACATTTGAAGTTGTTACATGGGTATCGGCATCAGGCATTGCCTTGGCAAGCCCAAAATCTGCAATTCGAGCTTCCATATCATCATCAAGAAGGATATTTGCAGGTTTAAGATCCCTATGAATAATCCGAGGGCTATGGTTCATGTGTAAATACTCAAGCCCTGCTGCGACCCCAAGAGCAATCCTATGTCGTAACGGCCAATCCAATTCTCCATTACCTTCAGCCACCTTTTTCATCAAGTCATGCACACTCCCATTTTTCATGAACTCATATACAAGGTAATGACAATCTGGTCCACACACATGTGCCAACAATGGGAGTAAGTTCCGATGACGAATTTGACCCACAGTTTGGATTTCTGATCGCACTTGTCGCATTTTCTTGTTCAAAAGCTTACTATCTTCTTCAGTCAATTCAGCAACATCAATCGAAGGCTGAAGGATTCTTTTTATCGCAATGAACTTCCCGTCACTTCCAGGCAACTCTGCTCTATAAACTTCTCCACAACCACCTCTACCAATAAGCTGTAATGAAGCTAAACCATCTTCTTTTTCCAAAAATGCTAAACATTCAGCATTCTTGATCATTGGACTAAATATAACAGGACCAGAATCGCGTTCTCTCCCTCTAATACAAATCAATAAAATTTTAAACAACAAAGAGAAAAAAAAACCTGATACCATTCCTGATGCTACACCCACAAAGAATCCAACAATGAATCCTCTCGCTTTGTTTGCACCTTTGTCATGATGGTGTGGTGCAGGCAAGGGAGAAGGAGCTGGTGAAAGCTCAGTGGCATAACTGTGATTTCCATTTCTAGTATGATTTTCAGCAAAAATGTAACGCTTTGGAAGAGAATATTCAATTTGAACTCCATTTAACGACTTTGGTACTGAACCTTGAAGATCGATATTTCCCGAAAGATTAAGAAATCGAAGATTTCGAAAAGTTCTTAAAGAAATCGGAATTTTCCCAGAAAACAAATTATCCGAAAGATAAAGTTCCTCAAGATTTGGAAAGTTTTTCAAGAAATTCAAATTACCAGATAATCGATTGAAAGAAAGATCGAGAATTCTTAAACTTACAAGATTCGAAATACCGGGCGGTATTTGTCCGGAAAATCGATTATTTCGTAGATTAAGAACTTCTAAGAGTTGTAAGTCAACGATTTCCGATGGAATTCTGTCAACAAGTTGGTTGTTTGGAAGAGAAAGCTGTTTGAGCTCTGTAAGATTTCCAAGTGATGAAGATAACGATCCGATAAGTCGTTTCGAGTCGTAAATGATACGAGTAACTCTAAGAACAGGCAAGTCATTAATGAAGCGAGTTTCGCAGAAGA